AAAAAAAGAATTAGAAAGACTTCTAAACAGGATACATCAAGACAACCAATACCCAGAGATCCATCAGTGGGAGAAATTTTTCTACCATGTCAATATCCACAAATAAATAAGCCCGAGTTGTCAGCTCGAATTAGTAGTTTCTTGGTAAGTCTTACCGTTAGCTCTTTTACCCTGCCTGCTAGCACCAGCTCCAAGGCCTCTACCAGCACCAAAATGATTGCTACCTACGTTACTTGCAGCACTCTGAGAGAGTGTCGACTCGGCCTCGTGTTGACCATCTCCACCGGACATTTGCCCTGATTTTCCAACAAACCCACTTCCCGAAAAAACTCCATATCCATTTGGACCCAAACCCATCACAATGGGCCCACCATTCAAATAGGAGGAAAAAACAGGTATCGGATTTGCATAAGGCAAAAAACTGCCTCTCACACCAACCATTGCAGCAGGAGACCAAGGACTTCTCGGGACAACTGGAGAGAGCCCATAACCAATTCCACCATACCCACCAAACATTCCAGCTGCATATGGGTGCCCAGCTACACTACCGTATCCAGTGGGAAAATAACCGAATCTTGGATTGTAAGGCATATAATCACCCGGTTGATAAGAATTAAAGTTAGAGACTCTATCACTGCCTAACCTTCGGCCATAACCATTGCCACTGCTGTTACTCCCGTCTTTCGGCACAGCTCGTTTGACCTCCACAAGCTTTCCAGCCAATTCGTGAAAGTTCTTCTGCATAACCTCCTCAACAGAGTCCTCCGAGTCATACGTGATGAAACCGAAACCCCTTGGCCTATGGGTCATGTTATCATGCATCACGACTACATCAGTGATCCTACCAAACTTTGCAAAGTAACTTCCGAATTCTTCTTCAGTCAAGTTAGCAGCCAAACCCCCTACAAAAATCTTCTTTGTCCTAAATTCATCAGAGCTCCTACCTTTATTAGTGCCACCAAAGTTTCTACTCAATCCTTTACCATACTGCAGTTGACTCTGTTGTTCGCTCCTCGGAATTGCCCTTTTCACTTCCACCTAATAAAAGATGGAAAGTGCAGAATGAGCTTATCCTGGGACTCAGCATATTATTACCAATAAAACCCCAAGATTCAAAAATAGTGGCAGAGAAGAACAAAAATATCCAGATTCCAGAAGACTACAAACCCGAAAATCAAAGGGGTAAGAGTTATAACAAGGAACAGGTAGCAGCTCATTTATCAAGTAAAAGAAATGGATAATGACGCCATTAACACACACACACACACACACAAAAACGAAGATCCAGCCATGCATCGAGCACAACAAAACCAGAAGAAATTTAGAAAAATAAACCTTGATCAACACATAATTAAACAAAAGAAGAAAAATCACATATTTAAAAGCCCTAAATCTAAACACCATTCAGCCGCCACACTTTCTCTCTCAACACCGAAGGACGCAAACACACACACACACACACACACGGCCCGAAAA